AAATGTGTGTAAAATGTATAAATTTCATTGAACGTATGAAAACGTATAATAGATGTGTAAAAAGACTTAATATTGTTTTCGCATAATTTTACGCTTAATATCTTGTAAAAATTTTTGGTAAGAGACATACAGTTTGTTAGTATCAATCTGTCTATTTACATTATTATCATAAACAGAAATATGTATCATTTCAGAAAATTCGCGTTTAAATCTATTCTCCTCCCGGTCCAAAATTCTAACATTATTAAAATCAAATGTATGTTGAAATAGTATTGAATGAGAAGCAATGGCAGACTTATTATCCTGGTCTTTGACCATTCGTAAGTGTTCACTTATACGAATGCCAAGCAATCTCTTACTTTGACCCACATAGCAAATACCGCATTCACAAAGAATTAAATAAACTATGCCCCTCTTTTGAAGTGTAGCAACTTTATCTTTACCTCATAGTATTATATCAGTAAATTTACATGGATTGGAAGAAATTACTCTAATATCAAATTTAGAAAAAATCTTACGTAAAGAACTTTCTAAGCAATGAATGACGGAAATACATTAGAAGGTGTTCCAAAACAAAAATTGCGGCTCTCTAAACAGCAACGGTCACAATCAGGTGTTGAGTCCTTAGATTTGTTGAACAATCTATTGAGAAAGCTCATTGTCGCTTTAATGTATTTTTTAACAAAATAACCTGGATAAGCATTCTCAGCAAGAACCTTCTTAACCTCCCAAATGTTTTTGGTCCTGAAACAAGGCTAACTTAAAAACTTTGTCAATCAAAGAATAAACGATAGCTCTCTTCTGACAAACAGTATTATGCGAAAAAAAATTTAAAAATCGTCCAGAAGAAGATGGTTTTTTACACAGATCAAACAAACAAGAAGAATGAAGAATACGTGTAATTAAAATGTCTTAAAATAAAATAGAATTATTTGTCTCTCTTTCTACTGTAAATTGTAAATACGAATTATAATTATTAAAACGGTTCAAAATATATTCAATATGTTCTGTTTTTATAATAAGATGACAATCATCTGTAAAGTGCACATAGGACAGAATGGAATCTCCGCATTCCAGAATAATGGATGACTCCAAAGATTAAAAAACTATTTCAGCTATTCATGGAGGAGAACAGCCACCCATAGGAGTTCCACACTTCTGCCTATATACTTGATTATTGAAAATAAAATAATTTGAATTAATCAAAAAATTGAAACCATCAAGAAATTATTTTTTATCAATGGCCAAAAGGTTCATAAAGGAACCTAGTTTTTCGTTCGAACAATTATTAAATCTTTTTCCGCATAATCCTGTTTGTCAGAAGAGAGCTATCGTTTATTCTTTGATTGACAAAGTTCTTAAGTCAGCTGATCCTTGTTTCAGGACCAAAAACATTTGGGAGGTTAAGAAGGTTCTTGCTGAGAATGCTTATCCAGGTTATTTTGTTGAAAAATACATCAAAGCGACAATGAGCTTTCACTTTTCCGTATTTTCATTGCTTAGAAAGTTCTTTACGTAAGATTTTTTATAAATTTAATATTAGAGTAATTTCTTCTAATTCATGTAAATTTACTGATAATATACGATTAGGTAAAGATAAAGTTGCTACACTTCAAAAGAGGGGCATAGTTTATTTAATTCTTTGTGAATGCGGTATTTGCTATGTGGGTCAAAGTAAGAGATTGCTTGGCATTCGTATAAGTGAACACTTACGAATGGTCAAAAACCATGATAATAAATCTGCCATTGCTTCTCATTCAATACAATTTCAACATACATTTAATTTTAATAATGTTAGAATTTTGGACCGGGAAGAGAATAGATTTAAACGCGAATTTTCTGAAATGATACATATTTCTGTTTATGATAATAATGTAAATAGACAGATTGATACTAACAAACTGAATGTCTCTTACAAAAAATTTTTACAATATATTAAGCGTAAAATTATGCGAAAACAATATTAAGTCTTTTCACACATGTATTATACGTTTTCATACGTTCAATAAAATTTATACATTTTACACACATTTCATTGGTAGTATAACATCCTTGATTTTTCCTCACTATAGTACTTACAGTGTACCTTGTTATACATATTTTACATATACGTTTACTTTCTTACATTTAGTTAATTTTCTTGCATTTTAATGTTTCTGACTATGTTTCTTGTGAAAGCAAAAATCTTTTTATTAAATAGTAATTCCTTCACATTGATCATTATGTATTAATCACTTTTTGCTCCATTTACAATGCCACGTGTTATCCTAACACTTACATTGGTAATTATATTAAACTTTCCTTAGTAATTTATGACTTGTTTTGGATATTATGTATTTATGATTGTTTATATATTTTGTTAGTTGCCCTGAGGATGACGTTAGCATGACGTTAAAATATTGGCAATTATGTTGGTTGTGTAAATAAAGTCATGCTCCAAAGTAACCAATTTTTATACTGTGTTATTATTGATTTTTGACTGTGGAGCAAGTGTTTGGAAGTTTCACCTTTGATATTTTTGATTTTTTGACTATATCTTGAAAATAACAAGTCAAAAAAAATTTCTTCATTTAGCATGGCATGTTTGGAAAATTATTATGGACGTTGAAAAAATCTTCAAAAAATTTTTGTTACAACCTAACCTCTTAAAGTAAGAAGAACAGTTGTATCTCGAAAAGGAAGTCAGATAGGTTATTATTGATTTTTGACTGTGGAGCAAGTGTTTGGAAGTTTCACCTTTGATATT